GGGGGGGGGGGGGGGGGGGAGGGATTAATTGACTAGTGCTGATGCTGATAATATAAAGATACTAGTTTTTTTTGTGAATTTGATGGATAGTCCACTACAAGGAAAGAATTCTATGTCGGCCAGACAGAAAGTATCGTTTTCTAATGTTCCATGCAAAAGGTAAGAACATCTACCCCTTGCACAGGGACCCATATGCGTGCATTAACTTGGGCTAATGTTTTCCCATTTCAGACCACGTTTCATTCCCTAAAGTATTATCTCTTTGCAAACATAGATTCCTAATCTCAAGAGAAAGACAAATGGTCTGAAATGGGAAAATAATATGCTCAAACTAAGTTGTTTCATTTCAGACCATGTGTCATTCCCATGAGTATCATTTCTTTGTTTAATTGTTCCGCATGAGAAGACACATGAATATGGATAAGAAACGAATATAGAATCCTAATCTCAAGAGAAAGACAAATGGTCTGAAATGGAAAAACAATACGTCCAAACTAAGTTGGTCTGTAATACTACCAAATATAAGTGATTAGAAAAAATGGATAAATGTAAAACTAAATGTGTACACAGCTATTTTCAGAAAGGTTGAACACTGAATACTGCATACCGAATAGTGCATTCCGAGAGCGAAGTGCATTGTGGGTCACAGTGACATTGTCTAAAGTAGGATTAATAATAATTATTTATTCTATTTTTAGTGTATTCCATCTGAAACAATATACTAACTACATGTAGAGAGTTAGTTGCTGTATATTTACTTTTTATTTCAATTAATGAGACCCACAATGCCCTTTGGTCTTGGAATGCACTATTAAGTATGCAGTATTCAGTATTCAACGTTTTTTGAAATTGCTGTATACTGAAAACATTGAGACTGTAAAGCAGTCTTTGGTGCCATTTTTCTTCTTTACTGCACAATTAGTAAGATAACAATCCAATAATCCTCAACACTGAGTAGATTGTAAATTGGTTAAGCAAACAAATGGGGGTAATTTAAGCAAATCACTCACACATTTGTTAATATGACGAAATCGAGTGGATCCCAATAAGATATCACCATGCCAACGGGTAACCACAGCAACCATGTTCTTGGCACCAGCTTGTTGCAGTAGGCGTAACAACGTCTCTCCTGCACCAGTTTCACCATCATCATCGAAATCTTCTGTGTATGTGTCATTTTCTTGGTCAAAAACCCTGTAGGCCAGTATGTTGTAGGTTGCCTTGGCGACAAGCCAGTCATTTTTTACCTCGGCCAACACTTGGTCCACTTGGTCTCGACATGTGACCACAGCGAGGTGGGCTTCGAATGTGCTCTTACGGTCTTCAAGGAGAGCTCCGTGAATGATGTCAGGACAACTTGATTTTGGAATCTCTGTATAGTAATCCACTGCATTCTTTTTCATCAAATCAAAATACTTATCAAGCCGAGATAGTATTTCCTTTTCTTGATCAGTCGTCAAACTCTCCACAAGACCTCCTGATTGGAGTAGTTTCAAAGCGCATCGATGGATATGCGAAAACCTGTCACGCCCCAGAGGAATTCCCCCGTGCCAGCGAGAAACAGTGACCACTACATTCTGGACATCAAGGACTTCTAGTAAATGAAGAAGACTTGCTCCTGCGAGATATTCACCATCGTCGTCACAATCTTCAACCATAGAACTTGTATCTTCATGGTATATTCTGTACGCTTGGATGTTGTAAGTTGCGTTCGCGATATCTTGATCTTTCTTCAGTTCTTTGAAAACATCATCAACTTGTTCCCTCGATGAGATGACAGCAAGATGGGCTTGGAATGTGCTCTTGCGATCCTCAAATGTTTCTCCGTGCATAATTTTAGTCTTCGGTGGTAGGGTCATGTATGGAATAGATGTACAATGCTGTTTCAAGTGCTCCAAGTATTCATCTTGCTTCTTCAATAGCTTCCGTACATCAGCTGACTCCAACTTCACAAGACCAGCTTCCCGAAGCAATTCCAAAGCHGTTTGGTTGATGTACTTGAACCGTGTACGTCCTAGTGCGATTCGTCCATGCCATCGCGTGACAATCACAATCACATCTTTAACATCAAGTACCTGCAGCAAGTGTAAGAGATCTTCTCCTGCGAACTTTTCACCATCATCATCAAAATCTTCAATGCACGATTTCTCTTCAAAAATCCTATATGCATAAGCGTTATAAGTTGCGTTGGAGATTTTACGATCTTTCTTCAGCCCAGCTAGTACTTGTTCGACTTGGTCTTGTGATGTGATCACTGCAAGATGCGCCTGGAACATGCTTTGAAGAACCTCGATAGTCTTTCCATGGATTATTTCAATCTTCGGGGATTCTTGTTCTGGAACGATGGAAGGATTCTGTCGTACATGTTGTTTTACGAACTCAAAGTAATCTTCTACTTCATGCAATAGTTCTTTGTCTTTGGAAGGCGTTTTGACCTCGTAGAGCCCTGAAGAACGAAGCAAGCCTAAGGTTTTTTGACTTATCAGCTTTCCTACAGGCTGCAGAAGTTTTCCTTTATGCCAGCATGTCAGGATAACAACGACATTCCTAGCATCGGTCATCTCCAGCAAACGTAATAGCCTTGCTCCTGCATTCATTGAGCCATAGTCATCACACTTTTCCATGAAAGACTTTCTTTCTTCGTTGAAAACCCTGCTAGCCTGAATTCTGTACGATGCATCTGCGATGTTGGAGTTTTTCTCCAGATTTTTTAGCGCTTGACCTTCTTGGTCCAGTGATGTGATGAAGGCGAGATGAAGTTGGAAAATGCTTTCTCCAACTTTAAATTGCTTTCCTTGTATGAACTTAAGCGTTGGGCTTTTAGGATCTTGAGTTTCTTCATCAGTTCTCTTCTCTGTTTTGGATTCATCCATTGTTTCATCAGGATCTTCAGTTGCAGCCTCAGTACTCTTTGATGGGTCATCTTTATCATATCTGGAATTAGAATCTTCATGAGCTTCCTCGTCTGAATGTTGCAATGCTAAGATGGAAAATAAAAATAAGAAAATAAATATAATTCTATAATCAGCCACTAGTCATTCTTATTCACTTGTTGTATTCAACACACCAACACAGTCCCAACTAGTAACCACTAGTCATTCTTATTCACTTGTTGTATTCAAC